GTCGCTGCGCGCCCCGGCTCTGCGCGCCCCGTCACCAGAGCGAGAGGCGCGCCCCGGTTCAGCGCGCTCCCGGCGCCGCGGGGGGTTCCCTTACAACCCGGGACGGCTGAGGAGGCTGGCGGGGGACGTCGCGCCCGAGCCGCTCCTCTGGATGGCGACAGAGACGGCTCGCGGGGAGGACGGACGGGCCAGCGTGAAGTTTGCGGACTTGAGCCCTCTGTGAGGTGCTCGGGTCCCAGTCGCGGCCCTCGAAACGCCCAGCCGCAGGCCCCGTCCTGGCATCCGACCGCCGCGGTGGCCTGTGGGGCTGGGAGTCCCGGGCCTCTGCTAGGTGAGTTCAGGGACTGGACCTCAGCGGAAGGTGCTCAGGGCCTGTGCACCAAATGCGCCCTGTCAGTCTCGCTCTGCACAGACCTAGACCCCGGTCACCCGAGGCCCAAGGCCCTGGGGCTTCCTCCCCTAGCCCAGACCGGCACTGCCGGGCACCGACACGCGTCCCTTGCACCTCTGTCCCAGGAACACTCTACTCTGTGGCACTTCCAACTCTGCCACTTCTCTGCTGTTCGCTGAGCCACCTCCCCAATATCCGCCTGGGAGTCCCCAGAGGATAAGGTCCCAGTCTACTTTTTGGGCTCTCAGCGTGGGGTCTGGTCCCTTTGAGAGGGGTTTTCTGAGCAGGATAACAGTGGTTATTTTATTTGCGTAGTTAATTATCATTTGCAGAGCAGGTTTATTCCTATAAACAAGCTAAGGATGAAGGGAGTGCCCCCTCCCTCTCAGCACAGGAGGGTGAATTCCAGGCGTGCAAGGCGATGGCAGTGCTGCCTGAGGAGGGTTTGGCCCCTGCCGGTCCCCAGCCGCACCAGCATCCCCAGCGCCCATTCCTCCTGCAGGTTGGTCCACAGGCTAGCAGTAGCAGTCACCCTTTGGGGCTCCTGGGATCTTCCCATCCTGCACAGGGACAGAGGCTGGAGCAGCCGGTGAGGATTTGTGAGAGCTGGAGACCCTTTTCTGAGCAGCCACTAGGGGGCCCGCGAGTGGGTTCCAGCAACCAGGGACAGGCAAGATGGTCACCCGCGTCATCCCTTGGTCTTGAGCCCTGGTCCAGGAAGGCCTTTAAGGGGCCCACAGAGTTGAGGGTGAAGGACGTGGGAGGAGGGCAGCTCTGCACAGTCCCTGCCACACGTGTACACACTCGTGCAAGCATGCACGTACCACACACACACACTTGCTGCCTGCCAAACACAAGTGTACCCATAATATCTCTCTGTGTATGTCTCTCTCTCTCACACGAACCCTGCAAGGGAAACCGAGGCAGAGAAGGGCAGTCTTTGGCTGGTGGGCAGTGAGGAGCCTCTACCAAGGGTTCAGGCAGTTTCCTCGCTGTAATATGACTGTGTCCACAAATATTCAAATCCTGTTTAATTAAAACACTGACTTGTCCCACTTAGGAGTATCTCAGCTGCAGGTTCTCCCTGTTCTTTTTCTTGAGATGGAGGTGATGCTGCCAACGCTGGGGGTCCTGACAACTTTGGGGTGGCACCCGTTGTCTCCCACTGTCTCCACATGCTCAGGGCTGGTCCCCACCCCTGGCCAGCAGGGGCTTCCTCACTGGGATCCTGTGTAGCCAACCACTGACACCTGAATCTCCTCCTTAGAACTGTATTTCTTTGATTTAAGCCTTTTATCCTGTTAAAAAAAAGAAAGTAACTTTAAAAAATGTCACAAATCCTGTTTCATCCTGTCCATTCTGAACTGTCCTGTGTGAGCCATCTCTCTCCACCATCTATCCACTGAGCACCTACTAGGGGCCAGGCGTTGGGGGTGGGGATGTCAACAAGGCACATTTCCACAGCCTGGAAATTTACACTGGTTATGGGGAAAAGACAAGGAGACACACTATTCCAGGAGATCGCAGCAGGTGTCAAAGTGGGACTGACTGGAGGGCACCGTGGGGGCACATGGGAGGTGCTTCTGACCCAAAAGAGTGTTGGAGGGCACCATGAGGGGTGTGCCAGGGAAGGAATCCAGCAGGTTGTGTTCTCTTGTTGCCATCCTTAGGACACACACACAATGAAACTTTCACAGATTAACACTTAACCTGTCAGTTACTCCTGCATTTTCTATTCTACCTGAACTCATTTTTTTGAATGCTAGCTGCCCACCCAGGACTTCTGTTTGCAGTAATTTTCTTTGTTTGAAAAACAGGTTCCTAGAGAGATGTTGAACCTGGGAGGATGAGTCGAAGCTCTTACAAGGAGGATAGAGGGCCATGGTGATGGTGGGACAGCAGGAGAGGCTTCTGAGCAGAGAAACATACGGTCTCATGCAGCCTGCTCTCTCTAAAAGCTGAGACCCTAACATTTCTGTGGCTGTGACATTAGGGGTACAGCAGGAAAACTTTAGGGTATCACAGTGCAGCGTCTAGTTCATACCACACACTGAAAATTCCTACAAGAAAGGAAGAAGCATGGACTTCTGGGGGCCTGTGACTTGGAACTGAAATGGCACAGAGGTCACAGGTGGAGGGAGTGGTGGGGAACAGAGATAAAGGAGCCTCCTGACTTGGGGACCTCAGCCTTGATCTGACTATAAAGACATAGCCTGAGGGAACCTGGACACAGGGCAGCGGGGTGGTGCTGTTTCCAGAGGCCTGGTGAAAGAGGCCAGCATGGAAATCGAGGATGGAGGATGAGCAGGGTGCTGGATTCTGTTGCTAGGAAACCAAGGCTCAGTTCTGGATCCCAGCATGTACTACCAGTCATCGATTTTTGGTTGTTGATAGGCTCGTTTTGATTACTAGCCAGAACTAACAGGAGGTAAAATTTTGAAACCCAAATAAGTTTATAAGAGAATCACCTCCTCATCTCACAGCATCCTTGAAACACCAGGAATGGTGACTGTTCAAACCCTGCACCAAGCCGTGGGCCTCACCCCACACCAGCCTGACGGTCGCTGTGCTGCTAGAGAGACCCAGCATGTGGAAGGGTAGGCTGTGTGGAGGATAACCGAGGGGGCCACATGTCCAGTAGGAATGGAGAGTCTCCCAGAGAGGAGGGGTGGCCGACCAGGTTGGTTGCTGTAGGCACACATGCCAGCGGGGTGCGCGAGCATCGCGTGAGGTGGGCTGTGGTTTTCCTGCTCACTGTCCTTCCATTCAGAGCATCACATTCCCCGTGGAGCCTGACCGGCTGAGGACCCTCAGAGACCCTGCCTTTGGAGCTGGGTGTTTTAATGGGGAAAGAAATTGGGATATCCCTGTGAGGGCTCAATGTGAAGGGAAGTGTATTTTATGGACTGGCAGGCCCTGTTCTAGAAAGATCGTGCCAAATCTCTGGCAGACAGCATAAGGGGAGACTGCTGTGGTCTCGCCTACAGCTGTGTCCCTCCCCCTTCTGTGAAACAAGTGTGGGTTCTTTCAGGAAGACTCAACCCCATCCACGATCTTGTGCCATGTCCCACATGCCCTTCACCAAGCTGTCTCTCTGACTACAGAGAGGACTTGAGGTTGGAGGAGACAGCCAGGAGAAAGTAGGCACCAGCTGGGGGACAAGGATCTGGAGCCCAGCAGCTCTCTGGGACCCACATGGGGAGGGGTGGGCATGGCAGGGATGTCCACACTAACTCTGAGGCTTCTGGCTGGAAAGACTGGGAAAGTGGGAGTGATGTCTATGAGACAGGACCTGGCCAGCTGCTGGGGCCAGACACCAGCATCAGTGTGACCAGGCCTTCCTTCGGGGAGCTCTGGGACAGAGGTAAGAGCTGCAGCGCTCGGCAGAGAGAAACCAGCAGGCAGAGAACAGAAAACAAGGAGGAAGGAATTTGGCAGGTGCAGACGGCACATCCCTGGAGGACAGAGACCGCCTCAGATATCCCCGGAGGACAGAGACCACCTCAGATGTCACTGGAGGACAGAGACCGCCTCAGATATCCCCGGAGGA